ATTCTCAGGATCCAGGTTCTATGAGTTTCCCTTACTCCCTGGGATCGAACCCAGGGCCTTGCACAGGCTAGACAAGTGCTGTATCATGAATTGCTTTCCCAGGCCTCAGCTTCTCCAATTCTCTGTCTCTCAGGCTTTCCTATGCCTGCTCGGGTTCATCCCAGTCCCTCCAGGATCCAGGCTCAGGGTCTGATTGCTCCTGTGTATTTAATTTTGACTAAACTTAGGCAGCACACTCCCTAACTCTCTGTGGCCAGGTCTGGTAGCAGAGCCAAGAGACACAATGAGGTAACTCAGGGAGGAAGGGCTTCTTCTCACCACACAATCCTGTGGCTGAGTGTGCTACACATGAATGCTTCTCTTTAGCATGAACCCATTTACCAAAACTATTTGTGGAAGCCATATTGCTACTTTTTTTGTTTTTTTTTTTCCCCCTGGTCCCCTGCCTGTCCCAGGCACAGACCAGGTGGATAAAAACCAGTAGATCACCCAATTCCACTCTCTCCACCACTAACCCCTCTGTGAAACTTTCTTTTCTTTTCTTTTCTTTTCTTTTCTTTTCTTTTCTTTCTTTCTTTCTTTTTTTTTCTTTGCAAGAATCCTTAAGTTTTGGGCCTCTGTTCTTCTGTAGTATGAGAAACAGGGAGGCCAGGGCAATAGCCCACATTTTAATGTGTGCTTCGTCCCTCTGTGTCAGCCTCCTTTGCCGTGTTCTAAGGTATCTGAAATAAGCAGGCTTTGCACCAGGTTCTCGGGTCTGAGTTCTCCTGGACCTGGCTTGTCATTCTTGTCTGAAGATGACCTTTGGCTGCAGACTAAGCTAGTGACTGTCACCCCTTTCCTTATCATTTTTCTTAGAAGTGTTTGCAGAGGCCTTTCCAGGGCACTCGGGGGAGGTAAGACGTTTTCAGCAGCAGCTCTGGGCTGTAACCTGGGGGAGGAACACGAGGGACAGTGTGACTTTTAAGTACCAGATCCATTGCTATGCTGTGTGGCCTGGGTTGTGTGCTTGGCAGGGCCCACTTACACATTTCTGGTTTTAGGCAATGTGTTACTCCTGGAACTCAGAGGCGCTTACAAGTTGAGAGCATGATGTCATAGCATTCTTTGAGAAGGCTATTTCATTCATGGTAATAAATCAGGGAACACTACTACTGTCCCATGGTAGTTTTGTATCTTTAAAAACAGTGCTCTTTTAAAAAGAAAATGCTTCATCTTGCCGGCCCAGCTTTTCTGCTGTTGCCTTTCCTAACAATTTCCACTTCTGCTTCCCACCCCTCCTCCCTTAAGGCCTCTTTTTTCTCCCACTCACACAGGCCTCTTTCTCGTTTCTGGGCCTTTACCCACATTTAATTCCTCTTGAATACACATATTTAACTGTTAGAGGCTGAGATCTGCCTATGAGAGCATATTTATTTTTCGGAGCCTGGGTTCATATCTTTTTATTCATTTTTCTTTGTAAAGTAGCAAGAATTTAATTTAGTGCCTCATTCATGCTAAGCCTGTGTTTTACCATCTCCAGCCTCACCCCACTCCCACCCACCCACCTTTTGATTTTTATTTACTTGATTTTTTTTTTTTTAAGTTAACATTTAAGGCTGATCATGGTGATGCAAGCCTTTAGTTCCAGCACTCGGGAGGCAGAGGCAGAGGCAGAGGCAGAGGCAGAGGCAGAGGCAGAGGCAGAGGCAGAGGCAGAGGCAGAGGCAGAGGCAGAGGCAGAGGCAGAGGCAGAGGCAGAGGCAGAGGCAGAGGCAGAGGCAGGAGGCTCTCTTGCGAGTTTGAGGCCAGCCTGGTCTATAATCAGGGCTGTTAACACTGAGAAACTGTCTCTAACCCTGCCCCCAAATTACATTTATTTATTTGTGTGTATATGAACTCTATGTGTGTTTTACTGGTCATGTGGTGGTCAAAGGTCAGCTTGATTTTTCCTTCCACCATGTGGGGGCCTAGGGTTCAAACTCAGGTTGCTGAGCTTTGTGGAAAATGCCTTTACCTGCTGAGCCATCTTTCCAACCACTCTTTCCATTTTTAATGTTTTGTTTTTATGTTATGTTATGGTGTTTTTGCCTGTGCACCACTGTGTGCTTGGTGCCTGCAGGGGCCAGGTGTGGGGCATTAGATTCCCTGGAACTGGAGTTTTAGGCAGTTGTCAGCCATGCCGCCACAGATTTTCAGGTAGAGCAACAGCTGTTCCCAACCACTGAGCAATCTCTCCAGGTTCCCTACTTTTGAGTTTGGAATGAGGCCCTCTTGTTAAATTGCCTAGGCTGGCTTCAAACTGTAATCCCTCCCTCATCCTTTCTAGTGGCTGGGATCTAACCCTGGTACTAGCAGGGTCAGCTAAGGTAATTTTTTGAGAAGTAAATTTAAATGTCAAACTTGAAAATCAGTTTCTTTCTTTTTTCTCCTCCCCTCTCTTCCCTTCTTTCTGCCTTCTCTTTCTCTTTTTTAAGTCTAGACCTCACTATTGTCGTCCAGTCTCCTGTGTAAGTGCCGGGATAACGAGGATGTGCCATCACACCCAGAATTTTTTACTTATGTTACAAAATAGATGCTTTATATTCTGGAATATCATATGCAGGATGCAAGGAAAGAAACTTAAGTTCTTTCCAGATGGGCAGACAGTTCTCCCGAGACTGCTGAAGTACTCACTATTTTGCTCTCTGTTTCACTGATCTATTAATGTTTATCTCTTTGTCATTATCACATGGCCACGGTCACTGTGACTTCAGGGGACACTTTGCTGTCTGGTAGGGCAAGTTCTCTATGAGTGCCTCTTTTTGTTTTCATTTTAACCTCCAAAGGTTCTTGGCTCTGCACTTGTTTAGTCTCCTAGATGAATTTTAGAATCAACTTGTCAAATTCTAAAATCTTCCTATTGGGACTGGGATTCAAATTGTATTGAACTGACGTCATTAGAACCCTGATTTCTCTCATCAGGAACATGATTTGTTTTCATTGGCCAGGTCACTTTCAGGGCCATCCAGTTCTTTGTTTTTTTTTTTTTTTTTTTTTTTTTAATGGATCTGACAGTAGTGTCTCAAAGTGTGTGTGTATGTGTGTGTGTGCTCCTTATAGTTTTTGGTTGTGAGCCTAGCCTTTAAGGGCTGAGCTATCTCTCCAGCCCTTGTGTATGCTTCTTTTTAGTTACACAGGATTTTCTTTTCCCTTTGATTAAAAGTTTTTTCTAAAGTAACAATTTGCAGAAGTATATTCAAAGTAACTACTTAGAGGAGAGAGAGAGAGAGAGAGAGAGAGAGAGAGAGAGAGAGAGAGAGAGAGAGAGAGAGAGAGAGATTCCTTGGAGGGCAGCCAAGGCCTTGCCCGCAAGCCAAGGACAGAAAAGAGTGGGCCTCACATGGGCCTCACAAGGATGGGACCAGAACTGTTTACTCTCCTTCTTCTCTTAGCTTAGTTTTTCTCTCCCCATTACAGTTTCATTTTCTTTGACTTTACTTTTCTGGAAGCACTGCAGTGTAGAACAAACCTGGCTATCTGGGGTCCTCATACAAATGAAGGATTCTCAGACAGTAACTGTGGTCTTGGGGAGGCCAGGCTAAAGGCAAGGTTTCAAGGCACCACATCAGAACATCAAACGAATTTTGTTTATTCATTTATTTATTTATGCTTAGGAGAAGTTGACTTGATAGTTAAAGGGAGAGTTCCTCCTCCCCCATAGCCAGTTTCAGGTGATCAGTAAATAGGGACCAATGATTCTCATGTTATGGGATTATTAATTGCACAAAATGTACTAAGTTCATGAGATTGTATCTAGGAAGTTTCTGAATGCTAGAGAAACCATCTATCACTAGCCCCAAATTTGACCACTTGTTGGAGGTCAGAAGAAGGCCTTGGACCCCCTGGAAATGGAGTTACAGATGGTGTGAGCTGCCATAATTAGGTGCTGGGAATTGAGTCTGGGTGGAAGAATAACCACTTAACCACTGAGCAATCTAGCAATCTCTTCAGTCCTACAATTCATTTTAACTTTTTTTTTTTTTTTTTTTTTTTTTTTTTTTTGTAGTGGAAAGGGCTGTTTCATAAAAGACATTCCCCTCCCAAGCCTTAGCTATTCCATGTAAAGACATGTTTTTCTAATGTAGTCTAGAGGTTGACGTCAACTGCCAGACCAGGAGACAGGGTAAAAGTTACAAAGGCAATTTGGAAGCTAGAAAACTTGACAGCCCTGCTTTGGTGAGTCATTGAATGACCTTCGCAGGTAAATAACCTAACTGCTGTGAATGTATTTCCTTATTTTCAAACCTAGGACAATTACTTTTCGTTTTGGGTGTGCTTCGTTGTACACAATTGAAAAAAGAAAGTAAACAAACAAACAAACAAAAAATTGGGTTCAGGTGGTTTATTACCAGTGGCCAATTTTTGTTTTTGAGACAGGGTCTCACTATATAGCCCTAGATGACCTGGAGCTATGCACACCAGGCTGGACTCAAACATCGAGATCCGCCTGCTTCTGCCTGGGGAGAGCTGAGTCAAAGACTAGGGGCTAATTTGAGAGTGTGCTAAAAAAAAAAATAATAAGTCTAGAGACTGGGGACAACAACAGCAAGGGGGATTGGAGAAGGGGGCATCCCTCCCTGGCTAACACTGAAGAACTTCGCAAGGAGGACAGGGCTGTTTAACTGGAAAACCAGTATTTGTTTTGGATGAGGTTTTTCCCCTACTAATAAAAAAAAAAAATCCTATTTCTCCAAACATTGCTTCCCGCCCAGTCTGCAAACATGGAGTCAGGTTTCACCCTCCGCCGAAGGGGCCGCCCGGAGCCAAGCTGAAGCCGGGGGCCGGGCTAGGGTTCTGTCCTAGAGCCTCAAGTCCCGGTGGACACATCAGCTCGCCCTGGGCGCGGCTTCCGGTGCCGGAGGCGGGCCTTCCGGTATCTCCTCTGCTTTCCGGGGCGGGACTTCCTGTCCTTAAGGAGTCTGGCAGCGAAAGTGGTTGGAGTGCCGATCGCGAGAGTCCATGGGCTCCCGAAGCCCTGCGTTCGTCGAAAGGGTGTCCAAGAAGACTTTTTTTGTAGCTGCTCCTTGCATTTTTCATTACGCGACGCCTCCATTTGCACGAAAACGCTGGACTCTTACGCCACCGCCCACCTGAGGCTCTTCCGCTTCCCCTTTCCCCAGGCTCCGCCCCCAGCGTCCTGTGGCTATGACGACCGCTCCGAGGGACTCATTAGTGTGGAAGCTTGCGGGGCTGTTGCGGGAGTCGGGTGAGTGACTTCCGGCTATCTGGTTTGAACGTTGTGGGTGTGTTCCATACCTTCCTGAAACACAGAGTCGCTGAGTCACTGCCGGCCGGGTCACGAGGTCTTCTCGTTTCTCCCTTTTTATGGGGTGGGTTCCTTGTGACGCGTTGTTTGCTGTCCTGTCTTTGACAATCTGAACTCTAGCCATTACTGGTACCACTTAGTTCTGCCAAAGGAAGGGATCATTACTAGACTAAACACTTCGAGACAAGAACGTAATCACTTGTAGGGAAAGCCAGCCAGTATGACACCTTAAACACCTGAGATTTGGAGTGAGACCCACATAGGTTAGTCCCGACCCCAGACTTGGATATGTTTTTAGAGCCTCAGTGTTCTTCGCAGGTAGGTTATCGAAGTGATTGTACTTAATTCAAAGATATCAGCATTTTAGTTAGCTTATTTAGTGCTGCATACATAATAAATGTTCCAAAGAGACAGTGTTACTATAATTGCTTTCCTCAGTGCCTGGACAAGGTGAAGCTCATGTGTCATTTGTGACATGGTTGGCATCAGTTGTGGCAGAAGCATGCTTTGACTTGCTATCAGAGATGTATTAGTTGTCAGTTGGGTGATCACAGTCAAGGTGATTCTTTGAAGTCTGGGATATAGTTCCATAGCAGAGCATGCATGTGCTTGGCATGTACAGAACTTTGACGTCAATCTCTAGAGTCAAAAAAAAAAAGGTTTTTTTTTTTGAGCCTCAGTTTTCCTATCTGTAAGGTGGGGTCAATTAGTTCTTGGGGGAACTAATAATAATGAGATTTAGATGAGGCAGCAGAGTCAATTTGGCATGTGTTACCTTGTTGACATCAGTGTCCTCTGTCTCTACACGCCCATCATGGGACTGTGTAATCTCATGATAGCAATTTCATTTTTTGGCTTGTATCAATAATTACTCCCATGCCATCCCTTTTCTAGACTTCTGAGAGACTCCTTGAATCGTGTCTCTGTCTATACTCAGTGTCTAGTATGTAGAAAATCTTTATGCAAGTTTGTAAGATTTATTATTCTGCAAAAGTCTGACATGGCTCCCGAGCTAGGAATCATAGAGTGCATGGATAAGATAATGGGGCTTTTTTTGTCTTGATTATGGTGATGGCTGTCATCATCTACACAAACAGCAGAGAACTAAACACTGTAACTGTTATACCAACACTAATTTTCTGGTTTTGATAATTGCACTATAATTATAGAAATACAAACATAGGGGGAAGCTGATAGAAGGGTTGAGGAGCTCTCTCTCTCTGCATCCCAGCTGGCCTTGAAATTGTGAACAGTTTGCTTCAGTGTTTTATCTGCTGGAGTTATAGATATATGACACTACACTTTGACTTCTTGATTTTTCTTTCTTTTTTCTTTTTTTTTTTCCTCTTCTCTTCTTCTCCTTCCTCTCCCTCTCCTTCTCCTCCTTTTTTTTTTTTTTTTTTTTTTTTTTTTTTGAGACAGGGTCTGGATTTCACAGAGATCCACCTGCTTCTGCCTCCCAAGTTCTGAGATTAAAAGTGTGTACCATCCCACCTGGTTTCAGAATATATGTTAAAACATTTCTCCACAGCTAGCTTGTAATTGTGCTCCAGATGGAGTAATGAGTGGGAAAATGCCTGAAAGATGTCCTCACGGGACTAATAGTCTCATTAGGTAGAGCAGCTTTATAGGCATACTTAGTGCTGTAATGGACATTGGCATGCATTTCAGTATTGTTTGAGAATTTCTATAAGTATGCATGCCATTCTTGCAACCAGAAAAAGAAAGAAAGATCGATATGTAGTCAGCCTTTGTGTAAAGGTGGGTGATGGCAGTGTGGAAGGAAGCCCAGAGATGTTACATCTTTAAATATTTTTATTTTAGTGGGGCACCCTTGTGTCAAGGCCAGAGGGTAGCCAGGGGTGTCATTCTTCAGGAACCGTCTACCTTGTTGTTTGTGACAAGGTTTCTCATTGAAACCTATGGCTTGCTGATGAAGTAGGCTAGCTAGTCATTAAGTTCCAGGGATCTTTCCATGTCTGTCTTTCCGTTTGTCCATCATGTGGGTGTTGAGGGGTCAAATTCGGATTCTCATGCTTTCTCAGCAAGTGCTTTACTGACTGAGTCATCTCCCCGGTTCCCAGAGGTATTGCTTTGAGAAGGCTCTCTAGGTGAAGTTGATCTTCAGCTTAGCAGTAAAAGGGGATGTATCAAAATGAGAGAGCTGTGGATCAAGTGGGCTATATTTCCAGCATTCTTAAGTAGCCTAGGCTCTTTTGAGTAGAAAGCAAAAGAATTTGGAAAAGTTCCTTCTAGTCTTATAGTGACGTGGTTTCTTGTGTCAGCATGAAGAGCTAGGGTTTTTTTTTTTTTTTAACTGATTTGTTTTTTGTTTATTTGTTGTTGTTGTTTTTTTGTTTTTGTTTTTGTTTTTTTTTTTTTTTGAGACAGGGTTTCTCTGTATTATTTTGGAGCTTGTCCTGGAACTCACTCTGTAGACCAGGCTGGTCTCGAACTCATAGAGATCTGCCTGCCTCTGCCTTCCCAAGTGCTGGGACTAAAGGCGTGCACCACCAACTTGTGAACTGGGAGTAGGTAGGAAGTTTTATCTTGCAGCGGAATATCTTCAGCACGGATGAGTGAGGGTGGGTATATTTGGGGGTTCCACAAGGAAAGACTTCTCATTCTCTCCTCCTTCCTGTCTGCCCTTCTTCCTGCAGGGGACACGGTTCTCTCTGGCTGTAGCACACTGAGCCTGCTAACTGCCACACTGCAGCAACTGAACAGAGTGTTTGAACTGTACCTGGGGCCATGGGGCCCCGGCCAGACGGGCTTTGTGGCTCTTCCCTCCCACCCTGCCGACTCACCCATCATCCTCCAGCTTCAGTTCCTCTTCGATGTGCTGCAGAAAACACTTTCACTCAAGGTCCCAGGAGGGGCAAGGGGACAGGATATGCAGAGAGCCGTAGGGAATGATGGATGCATGGGATGAATAGGGTGTAAGAAGGCTACAAGGCAGATGCAGATGGTTTCTGTCATATGGGTGGTTATACTGAGAAAATAGGGAGCCTGCTATGCCTCAGTAACCTGAATGTTCCTTTTCAGTTGGTCCACACCCCTGGTGTTGGCCTTCCGGGACCCATCAAGATTTTCCCCTTCAAGTCCCTTCGGCAGCTGGAGGTGAGGGAGTATTGGAGCATATGGGCGGGCAGAGCCTAGTTAGTGCAAAGCATCCTCTTGGGTGTGAGGCTAGAGGGATAGCCTCTTGGTTGGAGGTCGGGTCTGAATGTGCTCCTGCTCTTCAGTGATGTCTTTCCCATTAACACTTCCCTAAACCGTAGCTGAACTGTGCTATGTTTTTTCCTCCTCACCATCAGAAAAGGTGGGGATGAGGCCTTTGTCTTCTTTGAAGCTTTGCTTACCTCCTCCCCTTTCTTCTCTTGCACAAGCTTCGAGGAGTCCCCATCCGCAGCCTACGCGGCCTCCGTAGCATCTACTCGCAGCTAGAGTCTTTGACTTGTAGCAGGAGCATCCAGGCACTAGAGGTAAGGAGCGTGGAGGGTGTACCCTGATGCCTTGTCCTGAGAAATACAGAAAGCCAAGCTTTGTGGTTTCTGCCTATTTTCTCCCCCCTTCTGTCCTTTGTGATCCTCTAGCACTCTTCCGAAGCTGTATAGTCTAGTGTCTGCCTTCCCGTGGACCCCATAGTCTGTTCCTTGGGGACAGTGACTTGAGCTTTCTCCAGGTAGACCTTGGTATATATGAATGATGGACTGGATGATAGAGCCTGCAGCGGGAGGAGGTTGAGGATGCAGTAGTAGATGTGCCTGTCCCCTACCTAGGAGCTCTTGTCGGCCTGCGGTGGTGACCTCTGCTCAGCCCTTCCCTGGCTAGCTTTGCTCTCTGCGGATTTCAGCTATAATGCTCTCACCACCTTAGACAGCTCCCTGGTGAGTGCTGGTGTCCCCTGAGGGATGGAGCCCTGGGGAGGGGAAGGATGGGTCCTTTGGGAGGAGTGCCCGCTGCTGACAGGTACTCTTTTACGGAGAACCTTGCTGTGCTTCTTTTTCCTGCCCCCTTCAGCGTCTCCTGTCAGCTCTTCGCTTCCTCAACCTGAGCCATAATCATATCCAGGACTGCAAAGGCTTCCTGATGGTGAGTGGGAGCTGCCTATTGCTGATGGACTTGGGCCTTGGAAGGCTCTGCTCTCACTTGCTCTCAGATGCGTTTGCACTCTGAGTTGCTCTTGGCCCTAGGAGGAGTCAGTGCTCCCTGTGGGTCTCCCCTCTAGTGTTCAAGGCAGTTGTGACCTCAGCTTGGGGCACCTAGATGACTTGGGGCAAATCACTGAGCTTCTTGCTTTGCTCACCTGTAAAGTAGAACTCCCAGGAGTTCTTGTGAAGAGTGCCCTGTGTCCTTAGCCTAGTGTGTGGCTCAGAAGTGGTAGAGTTTATGATGACAGACCTTTCCCCGTGTCCTTTCTGTCCTCCACTAAAAATAAATAAGGCTACCGAGTGGTGGTGGCACACACCTTTAATCTTAGCCCTCGGGAGGCAGAGGCAGGCGGGTCTCTGAGTTGGAGGCCAGCCTGGTCTGCAGAGTGAGTTCTAGGACAGTAGGACAGCTAGGGATACATAGAGAAACCATTTTGAAAAACCAAAATAATAATAATGATAATAATAATAATAAGGCTGAGTACTTACTTGTTAAGTGGTAGGGACATATTTCAGTCTCCTAAAGCAGGGAAGAGGGTTCAAAGTGCACTACTGAATGGAGAGTGAGGGGCATGGGGCCATCTGCACACTCAGAACTGGGAACTTACAAGTCGGGAAGTGGATCCACATGAAGTGCATCTGGGTTTTCTCAGTGACTGCACTGACTGGCTACGTCCCTCTTGTCCCTCAGAGACTGGCTCTGTCTTCAGGTGGTGGCCAAAACAAACAGGATCTCTTTGGTTGCTCTTAAGTGTGCCCCAGAGCCTTGTCTTCTTCTAAGCAGGAACTTGGTAGGTTGGCGTCACCATCCAGGGTGTAGCCTGGAACTGTTAGGAAAGTGCTAGTGTTTGTTCAGGTCTTCCAGCACAGGGTAGAGGAGATCACTTGTGTTGAGTCTGCAGTTTCTATAGCCGAAGGTAGATTTGATGGTACAGATGACCTTGCCTAGAGCTTTGTCAAGTTGAGAATCTTTGTGTACTCACCAGGATTTATCTGAGCTGTACCATTTGGACATCTCCTATAATTACCTTCACTTGGTGCCAAGAGTGGGACCTTCAGGGGCTGCCCTGGGGATTTTGATACTGCGAGCCAATGAGCTTCGGAGTCTTCAGGGTAAGCAGGAAATGTGTGTAGGGTGGGGTCAGCCTGGAAGGGAATTGGATGAGTGTGGCTCAGGTTGTCCCGTAGACCACCTGCATCTAGATCAGTGGTTCTGCACCTTCCTAATACTGCGACTCTTTAATACAGTTCCTCATGTGGTGACACCCAATCATAAAATTATTTCATTGCTGCTTCATAACTAATTTTCCTGCTGTTATGAATCATAATGGAAGTCTCTGATGATGTGACCCCAAAGAGGTTGCCACCCACAGGTTGAGAACTGCTGATCTAGAGCCTCATGAGGACTTAGAGGTAGTATGTGGCACAGAGATTTGTCTTTCTGCCGCTGCTGTCCTCAGCATACAGACCACCACACCCTCTTAGCCCCAGCACGCCTCCCCAACATCCCTTCCTTCTTTCCTCTGCCCTAGGCCTGGAGCAGCTGAGGAACCTGCGGCACCTTGATGTGGCCTATAACCTTCTAGAAGGTCACACTGAGCTGTCACCACTGTGGCTGCTGGCTGAGCTCCGTAAGGTGAGACGCGAGTGCCTTATGGGCCTGGAAGCCACCTTCAGGTCCGGGGTCTCCTCGTGCCTTCATATAAGGGGGATCTCTGGCCTACTCAGCCTCCTCTTCTGCCCCTCAGCTCTATCTGGAAGGTAACCCTTTGTGGTTCCACCCGGCACACCGTGCAACCACTGCTCAGTACTTGTCACCTCGGGCCAGGGATGCTGCTCATGGCGTGAGTGCTTATCTAGTGCCTGTCCTCCTTTGATTGTTCCCACTTGCCATTTGTGAGCGACAGGCTAAAGACCTAGTCACCCTAGGTGCTGTTAGTACCTGGATGGGCTCTGTCTCAAGCACGGCTCCCTCTTTTCTCTTGCCCAGTTCTTGCTTGATGGCGAGGTTTTGTCACTGAAGGATCTTCAGGTTAGTCTGGTGGGGGTGGGATGAGGGAAGACTCATGGGATGACATGAAATGAAGGGAGGGCAGTAGCTCAGGAGACAGCATAGGTAGGAAAGGTTTTCCTGGACAGTGGAAAGTAGGGTCCTCCTCTTGGTTAGCTCAAGCAGGCAGAGGTGCTTTCTTGGTTCTGATGTCTTTCCTGCTGTCCCACAGCAGACTTCAGAATCTTCGGGGCTTGGTCCCGTGGGCCAACCTCCATCCTGGCCAGTGGGGAGTACCACTGAAACCTCAGGTGGCCCTGAGTTGAGTGATAGCCTCTCCTCAGGGGGCATTGTGGCCCAGGCCCCGCTTCGTAAGGTTAAGGTAAGTGGCATCTTCTGCTGGTTTGTGCCTGGGCTTGGGTGGTCTCTTTGCTGGCCTTGTAGGTATTTGATAGGCTAGCAGCAAGAAGGCCTTGTCCTTGTTAGTGCTCAGCTCTTTCTGGTAGGTTAGGTAGTCGGGCTGTGGATGGCCAGACTAAAGACTTTGGCTTTCATAGAACGCCATCTGTCTGTTCAAACTAGAGCCGAGTCCGTGTGAGGCGGGCTAGTATCTCTGAGCCCAGTGACACAGACCCGGAGCTCCGAACTCTGGATCCCTCCCCAGCTGGTAAGTTGACCTTCCCTCCTTACTCCCTTCCCACCTCCCTTTAGGTCTCTCCAATCTTGATGTTGCTTTGTAGGTGCCATAGGAGAACTTGATATACTTGAGGTGGTATGGATTATTGTGGAGGATCCCTTAATCCTTTATCTTTGTAGTTTAGGTCAAAGAGAAGGATCTGCTTCCAGGCAACACTCTCCTAAGGAACACAGATTTCATAGAGAGCTAAAGATTGTATGATAATAAAGAGATTTTATGGCCAGAACCATTTGGGAAGTATAAAGTGAAACAGGTTTTTGTTTTTTGGTTTTTTTGGTTTTTTTTTTTTCTGCAAGTCATCTCAGGGTCTTAGATACGTGGACATGTTTTGTGGACCTCCACAAGTTTTGTTTGGTGTGATTCTGGATGGCTTATGATCACAGCATTCCTTAGGACACACCTGAGGACATACTGCAGAGGGGAGCCTATTGAGGAGAAGCCCTAGAAAGAGGCTGGGTCACCTAAGGTCCAGGTAGGGCCTCAGCTCTGTGTCCTCCTCCATCCCAGGATGGTTTGTGCAACAACACCGGGAACTTGAGCTGCTGAACAGCTTTCGGGAACGCTTTGGCTGTGACTGGCTGCAGTATAGGAGCCACCTGGAGACCTTGGGGAGTCCTGCTCTTGCCACCACTAAGATTCCTGCCCTTAGCACCCCTCTCCTGGATGCTCAGAGCCTGGAAACTGCATGCAGCCCTCCAGCCACAAGGGGAGCTGGAGACAGTAAGGAATCACCACAGAAGATGTCAGAGGAAGGCGAGGCGGAACCAGAGCCCCATGAAGCAGAGAGGGAAGAGCCAGACAAAGAAGAGGGATCGAGGGACGACCTGGAGGAGGAAGAGGAGCAGGAACAGAAGGCAGTAGAAGGTAAGAGGCCTGTGACCATCGGGGAGATGGGGACAAGTGGAGAGGCCAGACTGGATAGCCTGTCGTGGGATAGCAGAGGATCTGACCATTCTTCACTCTAGTTCTCTGTTGGCCTCTCTGCAGCAGAGCTCTGTCGCCCCATGTTGGTGTGTCCCCTGCATGGGCTTGAGGGTGTGCAGGGCAAGGAATGCTTTCTCCGAGTCACTTGTGCCCACTTGTTTGAGGTGGAGCTCCGAGCAGCTCGCACTCTGGAGCGGCTGGAACTACAGAGCCTGGTGGCAGCCGAGCTAGAGCCAGAGGCTGAGATTCAAAGAGAACGGGTGCCCGAGGTGAGTTGTGGGGTCGGGGGCTTGGGAAGAGGCGCTTGCCTTGTCCAGACTCATCTCTGACAACCTGTTGGTTCTTGTGTGCCAGGAGCTGGACTGGGTGCTTTCCACTTCTCTCATGAGTACTTGGAGCCTAGGAGTGCCCGGGGTGTGTGAAGGGCTGCTGCGTGTGGCTTGGGAGGGTGGGCTAAAGAATGGATTCTGTGCGAAGGCTTGGTGTCAGCGCCAGCATTGTGGGGCCATAGTTAATGTTTACCTCGGTGCCCCATTTAGCCCTGACCCCTAACTCCTGCCCACTGCTGTGTTCTTTCTTCTTGTGCAGGGCTCAGGTTCACCCCCCAGGGCTCCGGTTCTTGCTCTGCGCTTTTCCTACTTTTGTCCTGACCGGCAGTTGCGTCGCTATGCAGTGCTGGAGCCAGAGGCCCATGAGGCCATCCAGGTGATGAGATCCAGAGGCCGGTGGGAAGAGTAGAGGGAGCAGGTTCGGGCTGGAGCGTTTGGGGTCTGCCAGGCAGTTCCACCCGAGTCTGCCTGCTCACAGCTAGCCGCTCTCTGACCCACCTCCTTTCAGGAGCTGCTTGCTGTGCTGACCCCGTTCACCAGTGTGAAAGAGCAGCAGCCTGGGGAGGCCAAGGACGCACAGGGGTCCAGGTTCCAGTGTCTGCGTTGCAGCTGTGAGTTCAAGCCAGAGGAGTCCAGGTTGGGACTGGAGAGTGAGGAAGGCTGGAAGCCTCTGTTTCAGAACACAGGTACCAGCTGTGCCCTTGATTTCCCGGCCCACACAGCTCCCCACTGCAGGGAAGGTGTCTCCCTCAGGGGTGCAGAGGGAACCCCAGGGAAGAGGGCCTTAGGGGAATGGCAACAACTGTTGGCAGCGGGGAGAGACACAACTGCCTGCCTGCTGTGTTAACAGAGCAGAAACGGCAGAGTCAGAGTCGGGAGTGCTATTTGTGAGTGTGCTTAAACATACTCATTATTTTTGCATAACTTGACGGCTTTTGGCTGACTAGGGTAACATTTCAGGGATGGCATAAGGCCTAATGAGCCCTCAGTTCAGTGCCAGGCTGTCATGGAGCCCTCTGTGTAGTGGCTGTTGAGTGAGCTACTTTAGGGGTTGGTGCAAGTTGACCTTCCCTGACTGACCTTGTCAGCTACTTGATAGGATGCAGCATCTTGTGGCATCTTTTTATATTCTGACCTTGGGATTGTTCCACTGTGGGCCAGTCAGACAATAAAGGCTTTGAAGACGCTAAAGAAGGAAGGGAAACTCTGGATAACAGCTTTGTGAAATGCAGTTTTTATCAGTCATGGTTCTTGGCAGCAGACATAGCAGGATTACGTTATTTTTTTCCCAGAAAAATAACTCTGTGTTATTGACTGTTGTGAGCCTGCCCTAGCAGGCTTAGCACTGGGATATCACAGCCCTTCCTGGGTCTGGCTGTCCTCCATAAGGGCTTCTGTAGTCCTCCTACAGTGGAATTTCTCTTTTAAAGTTTTTAATGTTTTGAGACCAAGCTTCATAACTAGGCTGGCCTCAAGCTCTTATGTAGCTGGAGCTAGCCTTGAATTTGTGATAGTGCCCCCCCACTCCCACCCCAGTCTCTTGAATACTGGCATTACAGACATGTGCTACCTTGCCAAGCTTTCTTGGGAGATTTAAATATGACAATAAAGCATATCCCCTAGCATTAAACAAAGGTCCTTCATGTATGGTAGCCTCTGTTATTATCTCCAGCTATTTTAGAGTGGACAGGGTGTATAAGTTGTTTAATTTTTTTTCTTATTTACAAAATGTGTAGGAAGAGTTTTGATAGGGCTGTCGCACGATAATATTGATGTGGGGGCTAGCCCGTGCCCAGAGTGTTGTAGCCACTCAGTGTCTCTCTATTGTTCATCCACATCCTTCACTCTTTTTTATCTGCATCCACTCACCCATTCTGCCAGGTCCTTGAGGCAGACACTACTTTCATTCTCCTCTTACAGATAGTAGTAGTCAGGCTCAGAGCGCAGGTGACTGACTGGTCCACAGTTGTCCATCTATTGCTAATAAAGCTGGGATTTGTACCCAACTGGCGTGAGGGACCTCCTTGCCTTCCCCAGTCTGATAATTTTTGTCTTTGCTGTTATCATAATTATCGTGTGTGGGCACATGTTTTATGTATGTGTTCATGTAGCTGTGTGCATGTGGAGGCCAGAGATAGATTGACGCTGGGTGTCTTCCTCAGTCACTCTACCTTATTTTGGGGGATGACCAATCTCTCATTGAACCTGGGGCTCATCAATTTGGCTAGACTGCCTGGCCAATGAGCTCCAGGGATCTGCCTGTCTCTTCCCCAGAATGCTGGGCTTACGGGTCAGTGGCACCACGCTGCTTTTGCCTGAGGCCTGGGGATCTGAACTCAGATCTCATGCTTGTGTGGGTACTGCATGGATTGAACCATCTCCCTAGATCCTGATTTTGGTTTTCCAGGCATTGCTAGTAAAGCACTGGCGTGCTTGATTAACCCAAGGCTGTGGTAGGGGACCACAGCAGGACCTGGAAACTAGAAGGTGGGATGTATTTGCCATGGGCAAGCTTAGCCCTTACAGGGATGGGGAGAGATAGGTTAGAGACTATGCTTGGAGATGGGGTTGGGAGTGGGATGTTGGGAATGGTGGCAGGGAGCATTGTGAGCATGGTGGGGTGTGCCCTTGGGAGGCTCACAGGGTCTCTGTCCCTCCCTCCAGAATCTCCTGTTGTGTGTCCAAACTGTGGGAGTGACCATGTGGTTCTCTTGGCCATGTCTGGGGAAATCCCTAATAGAGAACAGAACCAGGGAGACAAACCTCCAGATTCCTCTGGGTCCCCTGACCCTGTCTGTGACCTTGCTAACCACAGCAGCCATCCCAGCGGGTCTGATGGCACCCCACCTCAAGCATCCACACCCCATGGCCGTAGCAGCTGGACCCTCAGTCCAAGTGAGTAGAGGTGAAACAAGGTAGAGGTGTGTTTGCGGGAGGTGTGGGCGTGGGGGAAGGTAAGTTGGAGCTGTGGTGTCACAGAGCCAGGCTGACGATGACCTGTTGATTGCTCATAGCTCCTGGGCCCTCTGGTCTTCGCTCTGTGGACCACCGCCTCCGTCTCTTCCTGGATGTTGAGGTGTTTAGTGACTCGGAGGAGGAGTTCCAGTGCTGTGCCAAGGTCTGTGCCACCCACTGGCCCATGGCCATGGGCATCAAGTTGAATGCTTAGGTTTCAGCTGCAGCAGATATTTAGCCTTTGCCTATGGGAATGTTCCTTCACACTTGTGGTCCAGTTGTCCCCATCCAGGTAGAGATAATGCTCCTTGATTTTAGAGCGGAGGCTGCGAGCTGACATCTGTCGCTCAGCACAGCACAGCACCTGGCACTTGGTAAATGGTTCCTCTTATTAGAACATACTATCATTCCCTTGTGTCCAGGACACTCAGGCACTGCCATTTGGCAGTCCTGTCCTCTGTCTTGGAGAGTCAGGATCATGCAGTGAGAAGCTGCTGCAGTCAGGACAAGGTCCTAGAGGGGCTGTCTGATCCAGTCTGAGTGGGTCCATCTCTAGGGTCTAGGGGAAGGAATCTGTAAATGTACAGAGGCCCAAGAGAAAGTAGCTTGTTGGAAAGATGGAGCAGCCAGTGTGCAGGGTTAGAGGCAGGAGTCCTCAGGGGAGTCTAGAAGGCGTGGGTAGGCTGTTCAGGAGCAACCTGCTGTGTGTGCCAGAGGAGCGATGGTCACGTTTATTACTTAAGATGGTCTTGACTGAGTGTTGACGATAGGTTGGAAACATTGAGAGGACACTGGGGAGCCTGATAAGCCATCTTGGGGCTGCTGGAAGGGCAGGCTGCAGGGTCAGAAGTAAGAGTGATGAGGAGGGGCTGCTGATCGCAATAGTGACAGTGGTTGGGGTGCTTTGGTCTGGCACCTGTCTCCTTGGTTTTATTTTCTGGTTTCTCATCAACTTTCCCTTCCTTTAGGTGCCAGTGGTGTTAGCAGGCCACTCAGGGGAGTTTCTGTGCCTTGTGGTTGTGTCCGACCACAGGCTTTACCTGTTGAAGGTGACAGGGGCCATCTGGTGAGTGTACCAGGTGTGTAGCTGGGGCAGCATCGACTCCTGCCAATCTCATCCTGCCTGCATCTTAATCTTGGTCATCCTGCTCTCTCCACAGCGGGCCTCCTGCTAGCTGGCTCCAGCCCACCCTGGCCGTTCCTCTGCAGGATCTGAGTGGCATGGAGCTTGGCCTCGCAGGCCAGAGCCTTCGGCTAGAGTGGGCAGCTGGAACAGGCAGCTGTGTACTGCTTCCCCGAGATGCCAGGCATTGCCGTGCCTTCCTTGAGGAGCTCACTGGTGAGGGAGAGGCTGGGAGGGACGGACTTAGAGGTCAAGCTTTCAGGGCCTGCTTCTCAGTTAGACGCTCACCAGCAGACTGAGACCATGGAAGTCCCTGCTCCTCCCTGTATTACAAAGACTAGCCAGAGTCAACGGGTTGAGATAGAGGACTGCAGAGGTCTCTAAGGGCTTCTGTCTCTGGCCGGCTCTGTCCAGGTGTCTTGCAGTCTTTGCCCCGCACCCAGAGGAAGTGCATCAGAACCACGGAGGAGGAGGTGACCCCGCAGCATCGGCTCTGGTGAGTCAGCAGGAGGTTAGGGTTTGGTGGTGTCCAAGCCTTCTCTTGAAAGACACAGCCCCACCTACCCACCTACCCACCTCCTCCCATCCCTTGAAGCCCGTCCTACCCTGCCTGATCGTCTTCCTGTGTCTGCCGTGGTCTCTGCAGGCCATTGCTGGGAAAAGATACTTCTGCTGAGGTTCCCCAGTTTTTCTACCTTCGGACCTTCCTGGCTGAAGGTAAGGCTGATGCAGCAGATGCTTCCCTGGTTTCTGCATGCCATATTGTCCCTGGCTCATCCCCTATTGCCCCTAGTACCCATCTAGTAATTGTCACTTTTCTGGAATTCAGATTCCTTACCTTTGCAGGCACACCCACATGGCAGGCTGGTGTTTGCCACTTTCCCAGGTGGGGGCTGGGAGGTCCTCAGAGCTTCAGCTGTCCCGAAACCTTAGCTTTGGCATCCAGCCCTGCTAAAAGTGGGTAGATTGACTGGGTATGTCCCACTCATCCTGTCAAGAGGCTCTGGGCCCTTGATTGGGTTGATTGGTGTGGTAGCTCTCACAATATAGGCCTTCAGGGCTTTTGGTGATTAGGGGTTCCTGGAGTTTGTGGAAGCATAGTGCTGATTTGTGGCCCACCCTTAGCATGGCTCACACCTCTTCTCCAGGGCACTGGTCCTGGGGATCTAGCTGGGACACTAGTCCTGGGGATCTAGCTGGGACACTAGTCCTGGGGATCTAGCTGGGACACTAGTCCTGGGGATCTAGCTGGGACACTAGTCCTGGGGATCTAGTTGGGACACTAGTCCTGGGGATCTAGTTGGGACACTAGTCCTGAGGATCTAGCTGGGACACTAGTCCTGGGGATCTAGTTGGGACACTAGTCCTGGGGATCTAGTTGGGACACTAGTCCTGAGGATCTAGCTGGGACACTAGTCCTGGGGATCTAGCTGGGACACTAGTCCTGGGGATCTAGGCCTGTCATAACCTTTCACTCTAGGCGCCATCTTGCCTCTCTCTCTCTCTCTCTCTCTGCAGGCTCCTCTACCTGCCCTGTGTCCCTGTTGCTGACACTGTCCACATTGTACCTATTAGATGAAGACCCTGCAGGGTCCCAGGCAGAATCCCCTCTCCCAGTGGTGTCTGGGGAAGCCTCTGAGCAGGCCCCCCCTCTGGGGCCAGGTCCTTCCATGCAGGTCAGGGAGCAACAACCACTCAGCAGTCTGAGCTCTGTGCAGCTGTATCGCACAAGCCCTTTGGACTTGCGGCTGATCTTCTATGACGAGGTAGGGTGTGTGTGTGTGTGTGTGTGTATAATGTGGAAAGACATCTAGGAAGGATGGGTATTGGTTCAGGATGGTGCTGAAGAAGGGGCAATCATACAGTGGGGACAGAGTCCAGATGTGAGGACCTGGGTTTGGATAAGCCCCGTGTAGACAGCAGCAGTCAGTAGTGGGAATGTCCTGGCCTTGGAGCCCTGGACTGAAATACCTAGCTGGTATGAGTTGGTGTGATCAGCCTGCCCACTGTAGGCCAACTGTTTGACCTTTACAACTCCAGCATGAGGAGGAGGTGCTATTATTGGTCCTGGAATACAGATGATGTTACTAAAACTTGGAGACATGAACAAACTTGCACACAAGGGTTAGAGACAGGAATTGTACCTGCGCTGTTCTTGGAATTGACTCTAGAGCTCACATTCCCTATAGCATTGAAGGTTAGAGGTGGGAATATGAACAACAGGCCTCTAAGCCTGCAGTCAGTGCTGACTAGACTGTCTTCAAGGCTCAGAGTCAGCCCTTTGGTGCAGAATCACATAGACTTGGGGGGCAGGGGAAGGAAGAACCTTTAAAAGCCAAGGGAGGTGCTGAGTCCTCTCCTAAGACTTCCCTTGGCCTCTTGGCTTGTCTTCTGTGTCTCCCCTTGCCAACCATTCGATCTACCAGGTGTCTCGACTGGAGAGTTTCTGGGCACTCCGTGTTGTGTGTGTGGAGCAGCTGACGGATCTCTTGGCCTGGATCCGGGAGCCCTGGGAAGAGTTGTTCTCCATTGGACTCCGGACTGTGACCCAGGAGGCTCTGGACCTTGACCGATGAGGGTCTCCACTGACTCAGGAGTTGCACTGCAGAAGGCCCTTCTCCTGATCTCTGAGCCTGTCTTCTTGCCTGGCTGCAGACCTCTTCAGCAGTTGGCCACTGGCTAGTGAGGCACCAAATGGCCCACAGCTTAAGAGAAGGACAAGAGAAATGATCTGGCCCTTGGGTGTTCTGTCAAGTAGAGCAGGCTCAGTGGTCTGTGAAAATGTTTCTCTAGCACTTTCTCTCAGGTATCAGTAAAGTTTTTTCTGTGTGTTACACAGAAATGTCACCCATAAAGCCTGCCATCCCCGAATCTCTTCCCTAGTTTGCACTATGAAACCTGTCACCAGGCCTACTCTAGCAAAGTAGGACTACTGACCCAGATGCACCCAATCCTCAAGTGGGTTGTGACCTGTCATGTGGCCTTGCATGGGATCACTGCCAGTCAAAGAGCTGGACCTCTGAAGACTTTTTGTTGTTTTTTTGAGACAGGGTCTCACTGTGTAACATTGCTGGCCAGGGACTTACTCTGTAGACCAGGCTGGCCTTGAACTCATGGAGATCTGCCTGCCTCTGCCTTCTAAGTGCTGGGATTAATGGTGTGAGCCACCAGTTGTGGGAAAATTGTGAACTTCCCCCACTCCCCAGAGTTTACATTTTAGATAAAGACTGCAATAAAAAGTGAGACTATCATTGTTGACTCTGTAAGTTACCTGTGGTTCTAAGCATTGTACCTGTCCAGAATTTCAGTGCATATACACACTTATATACACAGTTCCCCTAAAAAAGAAGTAGTTAGTTCAGATACTCAACCAAGAGACTGATTCTTAGGGTTAGTTTCTCCCAGGCAATGCCTTGTCTGGTCTGGTGGGAGGGTAAGGGGGAAATGCTGAACTCTGGGACTGGAATAGTTATCCTCTGGTAACGTTCACAGAGGACCCAGACAGGCCTGTTCAGAGGTTCACAAAATAATCTCACCTACTTTTGTTTTGCTCAGAGCTGCCCTGAATTCTTAATTGAAGTAAATTAAAACTTCCCAAAAATATTAGTCCACTTTCTCAGCTGTGTGCATGGCACCTTTCCATCCAAGACATCGTGTTGTCTAGAAGCAGGAACCTGAGGAAGGCCTGCCCAACCTCTGGCCCAAAGTCACCTTTTGTATATGTCTCTTAGCAAGTGTGTTTCCAGAAGCAGGTCACAGTGCAGATGGGACAGAAGAATCTCCAGTCTTTTAGGCTGATGTGCAATGAAGTGTGAGCCTGGGGAGTCAGAGAAACATCTTCCAATTCTTTGTGCTTCTAGTTTCCAGGAACATCTTTGTTTAACAATGGCAGCCCTTGGCAGCCTTGTGAAAAGCTGCTCTTGCTTTTGTGACCCAGAAGACAGATTATCAGGCCTGAGGGCATCACCACTTAGGGAGGTGTTTCACCCTTTAGCTTTGTGCCTCACCAGAAAATAGAGCCCCAGGTAGCTGCATCTCTTTCCCAGAGCCTTCACTGCTCTAAGTAAGGTGATTGCTTTGCTCCTGGTTATAGGCCCTTGCCTCACATGCTCTGGCCTGTCCCCAGAGATCAATTGGCTCACTCAGTCTGCTCCCCCCCATCCTCTGCCTGCCCAGCAAGTACTTATCGATTGACTAGCCTCTGTCTGGCCTTAGGCTGGCATGAAGAACACTCAGTAGAGGCCTGGTGGCTCCTGAAAAGCAGTGGAGAGAAGATTCTGGAACAACCACACCACTGTACTGCATCTTCCATAAAAGAGATAAAAGGGAAGGGAAGGGGAGAATGGGTTATGTCTTCCTTCCTTCCCTTCTATCCTTCCTTCCTTGCTTTCTTTTTATTTATTTTCAAGACAGGTTTCCTCTGTGTAGCCTTGGCTGTCCTGGAACTTACTTTGTAGACCAGGCTGGCCTTGAACTAGAGATCCACCTGCATCTGCCTCCCTAGTGCTGGGATTAAAGGCATGTACTCCCACTCTTGGCTTGAGGGTTTACTTTTGTTTTGTTTTAAGACAGGTTTTCTCTGAGTAGCCCTGACAGTCCTGGAAATATCTATAGAGCAGGTTGGCCTTGAACTCACAGAGATCCTCCTGCCTCTGCCTCTCAAGTGCTGGAATTAAAAGTATGTGCCATTACTGCCCTGCAAGGGTTTAATTTTTTGGGCCTATAGCCCAAAAGTTATTTAAATTTTATTGGAGGCCTTTTGGGGTAAATGGACAAACTGAGTAGTATAAATGATTTGTAGGACCAGCCAGCTAAAGAAGCCATCTCTACAGGAGGTGGTCCTAGCTTGGCAGGATTGCCCTGGTTGCGTAGCTGCAGCTAGAACTTCAGCCATGGCTCTGTATATGGTGCTTTACCTACCTGAGTGCATGCGGTATTTTTAATCCATCTACAAGGGTCAGTGTGTGTGGCAAAAGCACAGGATTTAGAACTATGCCTTAGTTTTATGATTCACTGTGATAACTTCCCCTTGCTTGCTCATCTGCAGTGGGAAACTGAAACTAACCAATATCCTAGCTACTTCACAGAGGTGTAGAATATACTTGGAAGTACGATATAAACCTTGGTGCATTTAATAAATGCTGGCTATAAAACCTACCTGCTAGTTGTCAACCAGGTGTAGCAGGCTTTTTCTTTTGGATCACCAACCATCTCCCAAATCATGACATGGTGACTTTATTAGTTATAAATGTTGGCCTGGTTTAGGCTTCTTTCTTGCTAGCTCTTATAACTTAACCTGCTTCTCCTCATCCGCATTTTGTCTCCGGGCTCTTTACCTCTTTTTCTGTGTGTCCCACTCTATCTGCTGGCTAGTGGCTGCCTGGCTGTTCTCTCTTCTCATTCTTCGAGAATAGATTTATCATCCTACTTATTCTCTCTGCCTGCCAGCTCCACCTTTCCCTCTTCCACCTAGCTATTGGCCATTCAGCTTTCTATTAGACCAATCAGGTGCCTTAGGCAGGCAAGGTGACACAGCAACACATCGTTACATAATTAAACAAGTGCAGAAAAAACAAATGTAACACATCTTTGCATCAAGAGGTAGCGGAAACAAATGTAACACACCCTTACACAGTTAAAGTAATATTTCATGGCATAAACAAATGTGACACATCTTTGCCCAGTTAAAATAATATTCCATAGCACCCAGGAGTCTAGGAATGTTCTTTGTAATTGGAAGAGTGGATGCTTGCATCTTATTGCCCATGTGTTTATGAGTGGACATTTCCCTAGCGTGCCTTGGAGGAAAGTCAGACACTTGTGGAGATAGCATGAGTCAGGGCATGTTTTTTTTTTTTTTTTTTTTTTTTTTTTTTTTCTTGGCCTATCTTTTGTCATTTGATCACTTTGGACTTACTGACTTCTCTGGCCTCCGCAGGAAACATTCTTTAGTTTATTAGTTACTATAATTACCTGAGCACTTGCTTTCAGCTCCACAGATATTTACTGAACACTTCAGAGGTCCCTGGCTGGCTCTGTGCAGGGGAGGGATGCAGGAAGAAATCAGATACGCTTCTCTTTCAGGGTCTGGTTATATAGTTCTGGCTGGTCATGAGCTTGAGATCCTCCTGTCTCAGCTTTTTGAGTACTTGGATTATAGGTCTGAACCAACATGAATCGCATAATGACTGTGCCTAAGGACAAACTTTGTGCTGGTCTGTGTACAAAGTTCATGTTATTATGACTGCCCTGGGAAAGATCGACATTGTACAGGTGAAGAAGTTGGGGTAGGTTACTAAGGTGGTCTCACTTGAACCCTCTGTCTAAAGACAGGATCTGTGCTGCCTTTCTTAAACCATACTGCCTCTTAGGCCGTATAAAATGCCTATTCTCTTCAGGTGTCAATCTTTTCATACGCTCCCTGGTGGCATATCCTTCAGGTCATTGCTTAATTGTCACCTTGAAGAGGTGAATCTGCCACTTGAATCTCCTGTGTTACTGGACTTTTCTCTCATGGTATTTGCTGCAGATGCTTCATAATACAAAGTAGTGTTTGCTCATTGACGGTAACCAAATGTGTACACAACACGTGGTGTGGAGTACAGGTAGAACGTGTGGGGTCTGAACTTGGTCCCTGCTCTATGGGTTTGGCAGGGCTCTCTGATGTGGCTCTCTTCCCTTTATGCCTTGGGGTACCCTCCTTCTGTTTTGCTGGCTGGCCCCGGCTTCTGGCCAAGACCTTTCTCTTGCTAGCCCACCTGTTTTGCTTCCTTTGAAAATACCCTTGGCTGTGGTTCAGAAAGAACCCAAGGAGAGGAAAGGCTGTCAGGTTGTCTCTGTCGTCTCTCCTATTTGTTTCCTCAAAATAAAACTCAGGCAGGCCACTAGTTCAGGAGGTGGGGGGGGGGGGACGGGGACAGAAGAGCATGATGGCACAAGGGTGTTCCTCTCAGCATGTCATCCTAACACAAATGTATCAAGAAGGCTGGTCTAGAGGGGAGTTCTGGGAAAGATGACTCTCAGGGACAGTGGTGGTATGCAGACATTGGATTTGTGTCACAACTGAGGCCAGACGTGTGGATGTTGAGATAAACCACCACAGATTAACAAAACTGGTGAATAAGAGTGACAGTTATTGAACACCTGTCTTGTGCCGTGTTGAAGTGCTATTAAATGACAGCATCTCTGACCCTAGAGCCTGAACCATTCATCAGCGCCACTTTACCTGTAAAAGCCTGATCATGAACCCACTCAGTAGCCAGTGGCCCTGAGTGCTGTGCTCTGGGGAGCAGGGAGATAATTCTGGTAAGAGTCTAAGTGACAATCTGGGCTCAATGAGTCTATACCCACTGTATAAGTTTAGGATAGTCAACACAAGAATTGGTTTATTGATGCTGGGATACTGTTCTGTGGTAGGGTGCTGTCCTAGCATTTGTGAAGCTCTGGGTTCCATCCCCTAGGAAATTAAAACAAACAAACAAAAAAGGTTGCTTTATTGGCCAAAGAGTGTCAGAATCTGCCCGATGGGAGGTCAAAGCCCTTCTCAGGGCGTTTACATGGTTGGCAGACTTGTTGTGGCTCTAAACATACAGCTCTTGTATGTTAACATAAGCTTACGTGCATTTATTTCATACATGTAAACACTGTCCTTTCACACACTTATCTGAGGATTCTGAAGACTTGGATGTCTTAGGTTTACAGCAGCATTGGACTGGCTAATGTTTCCTGAGCTCCACTTTGTGCCAAGTCACTGTTCTATGTGCTGTCAACAGACAAACAAACTCATTGTCACTGCTAGAGAAACAGAGTGCCAGGAACAGTGATAAATAACTTGCTCGAGCAGTTATCAAGTGGCCACGCTGGTTTATGATCTCAGGTCACTTGACCCCGGGGATCTCATTCTTAACTTCTCACCTCTGTAGCCTCTAATAGCAAAGATAGTCTTGAAAAATACACCTGGGGAGTGAGTGATATATTTCAGTTTTGCACATGGCTTGGAAGGTTCAGCAGTTGCATAAGGGCATTGGGGACACGGCGGGGTGAGGGGGGAGTGGTGGCGTGCTGTGATATTTAGGGGTAAATGTTAGACACAATGTCAGAGCTCTGGGGCTCCTTTGGTTGTGTTGCCCATGGGTCTTGAATCTTGAGCAAGCTGTTTATACTTCATGGGCCTTTTCCTTGTTGTTTTGGGTTTTTTTGTTTGTTTGATTGTTTTGTTTTTCTGGGTTTCTCTGTATAGCTTGGCGCCTGT